ATTTCTAGCCCACAGGAGTTGGATTTTTTTTCCACAGGTAAAAAAGTCAATGTCATAAAGCTCTCTAAACACATACTGGAGAGTAACAACTTTTATAAAGCAGTAGCCTGTGTTGGTTACTTATTTTTAGCAGAGAAACATCAGTTTGGCTGTTAAAGAGAAAAGTTATGTTGAGAATTCTAATGCTATGTTTTCTACTCTGCTTCTAACCCTATAATGACAAATGTATTCCTGAGAAATAAAGCAGTAGAAGCAGTGTTTGTGTTGTGAGCTTGTTTACGTGCTATTCAACAAGCACAAATCTAAGTGATGCTAGCAGCTCTTTTCATTATGCCAGGGATTCCCCACCATGGGCTACATACCTCTGGGATGCGGAAGGCTGCACAGAGTCATAGCATCATAGCTAAGAAGGGAGGAGGGGCAATAATCCTCATGTTCATGTGGATTTTTAACAGAGTATTATTAAAAATGCAACCATTGTAATGGGATACGGAAGGACCCTCAAATATTTTCTATTAAGAACAAAAATAAATGATATCTTTGATTTGCTTCAGAATAATCTGAAGTGGGATGAATAAGTGAAGCACAGATAAAATAAGGTGGATCATGAGATGATAATTATTAAAGCTGGGTGATGGATACATGGAGGTTTGTTAGAGTCTCTTAGTTTTTTTAAAAAAATTTCCCAAATAACAAGCTTAAAAATTATTATGCTTAGAAAGATTGGAGACCACTGCTTTTTTTACTTAACTATTAAGTAATTTTGCCTAAAAATTCTTGCACTGGGTCAGGCACGGTGGCTCACACCTGTAATCCCAGCACTTTGGGGGGCCGAGCCGGGTGGATCACGGGTCAAGAGATAGAGACCATCCTGGCCAACATGGTGAAACCCTGTCTCTACTAAAAATACAAAAAATTAGCCGGGCGTGGTGTCACATGCCTGTAATCCCAGCTACTTGGGAGGCTGAGACAGGAAAATAGCTTGAACCCAGGAGGTGGAGGTTGCCGTGAGCCAAGAATGCACCATTGCACTCCAGCCTGGGCAACAAGAGTGAAACTCCATCTCAAAAAAAAAAAAAAAAAAAAAAAAAAATTCTTGCACTGGGTACCCAATTGATGACAAATATGAAAGTAATCAAGTTGTTAAAGCAAAGATTAAAATGGCTTACTAAATGCTACATAAGAGATACAATGTCAATATACTTACTATAGGGGTACCCAGATCTAGTTTTTACACTTAATCTAATTTTTATCTCACACCAAATATTGAAAAGGAAAAACATAGCATTTGTGTACCCATAATGGGTCATAAGATATACTGACTGAGAAAGGCTTAAAAATTAAAATGCATTTCTTGCAATTACCTGTTACACCCTTTTCCCTTCCTCCCCCTTTTTCCCTGTCTCTATTTTGCTATAATTCAGTGCTATTTACCTTAAGTTTGAAGATAATGACATGTTTCATAATTTAAGTGGCAAACACAAATTAGAATACATCCTTTTGGGCTATTACTCACAACCATTTCGTCTGCAACAACTGTTCTACTTTTCTTTAGCCTTGGCAAACTATTCAGAACAGCATTTCTTTCTTTTCATTCTGATGCAGGGTGATTGTTTGATGCTGATACAACATTGACTTTTCCCATAATTTAGCTTAGAATGTTTTACACTGGGGAGTTCCAATGTGCTTAAATTGTAAAACTTTTTCCGAGCAATTTTGTAGCAGAACTCCATGTTCTAATGTCCTCAGCAAAGTTGTTTTTAATACTTCTCCACGAATTTTCATTAAGGTTTAATTCCATTTCAACTTTGTCAGTTTAACCCAAAGATAAATTAAGACACCCAGAGAGATTATCATTTCCTGTTTGACGTCTCATTCCTGCGTACAATGGCAGTCTTTTTTATTTAGGCCTATGCCATTCCATCAGGGCAAGTAACTTTCTAACTAGTCATTATGAGCAACTCCTGGGAAATTGTGACACAGTCCCACGTATCAGCCAGTGAGTTATGTTGGGATCAAAGATTATGTGATCATATGTTTGTACGTTCCTTTGTCATGTATACTGTGGCCTATCACAGTGTGATTACTTTACATCAACTTCTCACATTCTTATCTCTTGAATGATATGTATGGTGAGCTGACCAGTGGGTTTTAAAATGTTGTAGCAGAAGAATCTGACAGACAACTATGGAGATTTTAGCTGAGATAGGAATATTTAAATTGGGCATGGAATATTTAAATTGGGCATGTTGGCTTTGGGGATGAATTGCTGTGATTTTGTGCTCTTAAGATATTGTTTTCTGCTTTCTTCAATAGATTTTGAAGACAGTTTTAGAAATGTCTGCATTTCTTATGAAAATACTAGAGACAGTGATGTGTTCCTGTAGCATGCAGGTTTTCAATTTTCCTGCTCACATACAGCCTAATAGAATTTGAAAAATTTGGTGTGTCCCCTTGCACATTGTTAACAGCGGAAAACTTTTATTATAAGTTCAAACAGTCGCAGAGGATGTGATTTCCCTGGTGTTGTAAATATTCTACTTAAAAATATAACTTGCATCACTTTTTAAGTAATAACTAATGTAATCTAAATATTATGGCAATTCAATACTCCTACTATCCATTTGAAAACACATTATTAAGCTTTCTTTTATAGATATTTACATCATTTTCCCCCTTAAACTCACGTTTCCATCCACTTTGCCAAGGAATTTTATGCTTGAACAAATTCATGACCCTGTGTTTCATTTCAACAAAAACATTTATATAAATAAAACTTTATGTAATTTTAAAAATTATATAACATAATTTTTTTAAAACTTTAATGTAATGACACTCAAACTTCTAGAGGACTCATATTACAATTATTAGCAGTATATAATTGATCCAAATGATTTTAAAAATCGACAGTTATAATATTTGACAACTACTAGATTTAAGAAGTAAATGTAATTTTACTAGAAATACATCTGCTAAAGAGATAAATGTGAAGGAAATTGGGCTTTTTAATTTTTTTTTTTTTTTTTTTTTTGAGGAGTCTTTTTGAGGAGTCTTGCTCTGTCACCTAGGCTGGAATGCAGTGGGGCGGTATCAGCTGACTACAACCTCCACTTCTTGGGTTCAAGCAATTCTCCTCCCTCTGCCTCCTGAGTAGCTGGGATTACAGGCATCCATCACCACAACCTGGCTAATTTTTGTATTTTTAGTAGAGATGGGGTTTCACCGTGTTGGTCAGGCTGGTCTCAAACTCCTGACCTTGTGATCCACCCACCTTGGCCTCCCAGAGTGCTGGGATTACAGGAGTGAGCCACCACGCCCAGACTGGGCTTTTAAATGTTTTTTTAAATTCTGCTTCTTTTATTTTCTGTTGTTTTAGGGCTTCTGTTTTGCTTGACAATCAATAGATACACACAGTGTGTGTCTATTCAGGAAGAGTTATTACTTACTTATTGCTGGAATGAGATAGTTTCAGCATTGATATAGTCCCTACTTTTTATTTTTATAGATGCATGTCCTGAGAAGTCTTACCCACATACTTACGTAGATGGCACTGAAAATAGGCTTTTTTGTGTGTTTATTTTGGGGATGAAAATTTACTTAAACCCTGAATTGCTTCCGAGTTATATATCCAAAGTCACTCAGTAATCTTTTATTAAAAAATAATTTGGAGATCTATCAGTGCATAACTTCATGAGGTAAAACACTTGGCTACTGCTTCCTACTACCTTTCTTCTAGAACCTCTTAAGTGAGAAACAGATCTCAAAAGTTTCACCATGACTCCCAGGCCTCATGCTCCTCTGAGCCTGAATGCAGCTTGTTTCACTGCTGCTTCTCTGACTAGCCAGTCGCCAGGTGGTCCATAAGCAACACATTCACAAACTGGCTCCTCCAGCTGGAGAGGGGACCCTGCCCCAAGACAGCCATGGGTGCTTCTCAGTAACTGGATGAGAGGAAGCCAAGCCCCAGATGCTGTTCCTGCAGTGGTGTCACATTTCTCTGCCCTATTGTCATCTGTTAAGTATAGATACGATTAATAGCAATGTCATACGGTTAACTCAATGTTCCATTGAGATTCTGTATGTAAAATTTTTAAATGTTATGCAAATGTTAGTAGCCCCATGTTGAGGATGTTTGAACTTTATCTGTCCCAACCTTGTTGATTTCATTAGATAAATTGGGTCTGCTCATAGAACATATGCTAAGACACATGCAAAAATTCGGCCCAGCCATTTGGACCTGCGTTTTATTCTCTGGCCACTGGGTTTCCCAGCAAGGATCTCATTAACCACCTAGGTTCCCCTTGTTTAGATGAGCATTTGGACTCTGAGAGGTTCTTACCTCTCTTTCAGGTAACCTTTGATGCTTTCCCTCCTGCTCTACACACTACATAGTAGTGGGCAAGAGACACTCCAATCTTCTTTCTTGGCCTCTTGCAGGCTGGACTAATCCCAGGCAAGCCCTCACTGGAGAATGGGAATTGGATAAATACAAACACAACTGGAGATACAAGGAAAAAGAGAATTTTTTTTTTTTTGAGATGGAGGCTTGCTGTGTTCCCAAGGCTGGAGTGCAGTGGCACAATCTTGGCTCATTGCAACCTCTGCCTCCCGGGTTCAAGTGACTCTCCTGCCTCAGCCTCCCAAGTATTTGGGATTAGCAACCATGCCTGGCTAATTTTTGTATTTTTAGTAGAGACGGAGTTTCACCATGTTGGTCAGGCTGGTCTTGAACTCCCGACCTTGTGATCCACCTGTCTAGACCTCCCAAAGAAGAGAATTTAAATAACTCAGCCTGTTCACTAAATAAATCTGGATAATTTTAAATACTTAAAATAAGAATGCTTAAAGGAAAGTGACAAAAGGGATTTTACAAGGTATGATGCTTTCTTTAAGATATTGTTTATTTTTATTTTTATAAAAATGTCCATTAGCAGTATTTACATAGTGAAAAATTAGACAAGGAATAAAATATTTAGCAAAAGCTTTATTATATCTTTTCTATTTTTCTTTCTTCAAATTTCATTTTGAAAGGTTTCAATTTATTGATCAGAAGTTTGCCTCAAATCAATGCTAAACAACAACTGTTGAAGTAATTTTAGTTACGTGGTATTAAGTTAAAAATTCCCCTCTAAACCGCATATTCAATCAACTTTCACTGGGAAATAGGATTTGATGACATTTAATACTGACTCTCTTGATACAAAGGGTTGGGAAAAGGTCATTGAGTCAGTTGACATTTGCTGTGTGCCCACTGAGAGTGTGACACTGCATTATTACTGTGTAGTAAGTATTAAGTATGAAGTGCTTCATGGATCTGAAGGGCTCCTCAAAAGTGAGACTTATTCAGTGAAAAAAAATTTTTTATATGCATACTACTCAAAATCTGGTGAATCTTTTCACCCTTACTTATAGTTAGGAGCTATGACATCAGAGAGAGCTATGACATCAAGGCAGTGATAAACAAATAAGCCAGGAACATAAGGAATGGTATGGTAGGAGAACAGATAAAATTAAATATAGGTAGCTCCAAATTAATTAGTGCAGTGCTAAGAATCTTCTGAATGCTTAGTTAATATTTGTTGATGAGGCCATTCACACACACATCCTTTCCTTCCTCAGATCTCTCTGCAAGCAGCACGTTGAAGGTTGTCTGGGCTCTGAAGTCCATTTTATAATATTCTTTCTGCATATAAAGAAATACATTCTGAGGTCTGAGACTGTTCAAGAACTTTCAAACTCTTTTTTCACTTTTATAGTTCGCATAAAATTTAACTTTTCTAAAAGTTTATAGACATGCTTATTTCGTTTTAAAAATTTTTTTCTTCTTTCTTTATTGTGGTAAATATACATCATATAAAATTTACATTTTAACAATCTTTAAGTATATAATTCAGTGGCATTAAGTAAATTCAGAATATTGCATTGCTTTATTTTCAAGCTGAATAGGATTCTTAATGTGCCTGTGACAGAGATGAATGAAGTATTAGCTAAGAAACAATTGTAGTCAGCTTAACGGATATTCCATAATCACAGAATACTCAGTAGGGGACACAAATACATGTCACATAGGAATTGAGTAGATCCAAAATATCATCCAAAGAGGCAGGAAAGCCCCATAACTGTTGTGTAATGTGCAGCATCAGATCTTTGTTGGAACAGATTGTCTTTCAGCAGGCCAATAAAAATTTGGCAGTGATGCATAATTAATGAACTGAAAAATGGATGAATGAGATTTCTCTCTAATTAATGTGCCCATAATATCTGGCATGAAAGCAAAGCTATATTAATTAGTAGACTGGGTGTTGTGTGTATGTGATTGTGAGTGGATGTGGTGTGTCTGTCTGTAGGCATAGTTGTCATGTTTTATTTGCAGCCTGTTTCTTTCTCTGCTCTTATCCTTTGTCCTCATTTCCCACCTTCTCATCATTCCTTTTGTTCTCCTCAGAACTGCCATTATGTTTTTATATGTGGATGAGGGAGAAGGATGACAGATTGAATGATTCCATTTTTAGATGGATATCTGAGAACACATGAATTAATCAATATTTCATAATCTAGGTGATGAAAGCCTCTCCTTTTTTAAAGCATGAGGACATTATGCTTTGTGTGTGCAGCTTAACTACTATTAAGGTTAATGAAAATCAGGCAGGCAAAGCCCCTTTCTTGAGTTGATAACATGCTCTAGTGTGCATCGTTGTCAATTATACATCAACTCTTAATCATCTTGGGAGGCAGGAGAGGTAAATCCTGCTGCTGAGCCAAAGCACCTCATGTAAGGATTATTGGACAGCATTAGGATCTGAACTTAAAATCTTAATTATTTATTGTCTTTGTAACGTATTCTTCTATTGTTAATTAAGTCAAATATTCCCCTAGGAAGTGAGCAAGTGTGTCTGTGTGCTTGCAAATGGGGTGGGAAGGAGGTGAAAATAAAGAAACATTGAAGGCAAAGAGAAAGAATGTTTTTGCATTCATATTTTAGGACCACTAAAATGTGTAACTTATTTTTCTAAAATCTTGCATCTGAATATTTGTCTGCAGATATAATATCTTCTATTAGGTGTATAGTTCAGGTATTTTTAGTTCCAGGCATGAAATAACATCTATTGAAAGATTTACTCCTCATTTGGCTAGACATTTCTTCATTCAATAGATATTTATGAAATCTGTTATATGCCAGGTAATAAGTGCTGCAAAGGTAATTAAGTTTTACCATGAAGAAGCTCCTTGACTAAGAGAAAAACTGACATATAAACAGGCATTTAAAAATGTCTGAGCATTCAGTTTGCTAGAGCTTAAGTTCAAGCTCAAGATTGATGAAAGGAGAAGCTGGAGGGCTAGGGAGAGGCCGTGCTGTGGAAAGCCTGTGTTCCATGTTGTACCAGTCTGGCGAAGATGCTATAATGAACAATGGTTTGAAATAACAGAAATGGACTTCACACTCCCTGACAATTTATCACTAGCCTTCCAGACTGTGGCTCTACCTGGGGCACTGGGTCTTCTGCTAGATCTTCTGCATCTGCCTACATTGTGGAGAAGAGAGAGAAGAGTTAGGCCTGAGTCCACCATGGAGTGGCGCACATCAGTTCTTCCCCTGGTGATCATATGGCCCAGTTTATACCTGAATTCTCAACACAACAATGAATAGTGCCCTCTTTCGCTCTTAACAGTGTCTCAGTTTGGACAATAAATTATATGATTACGCTAATTTCTCCCATATTCTATGGGTGAGAGTTCAATCACATGGTCACACCTACCTTAAAGGGATGCTGGGAAACCTATGTGATCAAGAGGAGAAGGCAATGGAGAAGGTTGAATGCAAGGCACTTTCTGTTGCACATGTCAAGGGGTTTAAAACCTTATCCTCCATATCCATTGCCATTTGAACATGTTCACCTAAATACATATATTTCTTTGAAGTCTTCCAGTGTATTTTGCAAATTCATAGGGATCATAAATCCTCCTCCATATATGTGTGTTTTTCTTAAAATAAAAATAATGTATTTTCTTTCTTCAAAACTCTTTACAAGTAAGTAATGCCCCAGGAATATTTTCCATTCTTTGTGGAAGAAATGCTTTGCATGTGTGTGCAAATCATGCATCTGCATATATAGAGATATCTAGCAGACTTGCAATAAAATATTAAAACATGCTGGTTTCTGGATGGCAGAATTAGAGACAGCTTTTCCGTTTTCTCTGTACTTTTCCATGTCATTTTGGAATTTTAAAACAGATTGTATTAGTTAAATTAGTTTTTATTTTATTTTTATTTTATTTTATATGAAGAGCCACCTCCTATAGCATGGGCTGTGTGAATATCCAACTTGGAACACACAGCACTGAACAAACATGTTGAAGAATCGCCTGGCGAGAATTTTCATTTTAAATAGGACATTCTGACAGCTACATGGAGTGCAGATTCCAAAAGACAGAGACTGGGAGCAGGGAGACCAATCTAGACTGTTATAGGTACCTGGATGAAAGGTGATAGAAGATCTGATGTAGGTTGGTGATAGGAGGAATGTTTGGAGATTAAATCAGTAGAGCTAAACCAAACAAGCATTATTGATAAATTTGCCTATGTTAACACTAATGGTTTTGCTTCTGCAAAACATCCTAAAATTAACTTTAAAAAGCAAGGGACAAACTGGAGGAAAACACTTCTAAGACATGAATGATATGAAAGGTGGGAAAGGTTGGCATCCTGAATATATTAAGAGCTCTTAACAATAAAAAAGCATCCTAATATAAAAATAAACACAGCAATTTATCCAAGAATAAGTGTGACCTCCAAAATATTAAAACCTGACCAAAGATTTTAAAAAACTGGAAATAACAATACAATCTTCATTATCATGTTAGTGAAGAAGGTCACAGAATATAGCGCAGATGTATGTACAAAGTATTTATCTTGGAACTGTTAACAACAATCAAAATTGAGAAAATAATTCCTTCAATGGAAGGTTTGTTAATAAATTATTATAGATCCTCCTACTGGCATATTAGGTAATAATTTAAAATGATTACATAGATGTATAATATTGAAATAGAAAGATGCCTGTGTATCACAATGCCTATGACCTATTATTAAGTAAAAACTGGTTATCAAACTCCAAGTATAACATGCTCACTTTATGTAAAATTATTTGTGTGTGTGTACAAAACATGTATCTGCATATGTAGAAATATCTAGCAGACTTTCAATAAAATATTAAAACATGTTTATTTTTGGATGGTATAATTGGAGATAGCTTTTCCTTTTTCTCTGTATTTTTCCATATCATTTTGGAATTTTAAAATAGACATCATGCACTATATGTATAATTTTTAAGTAAACAAAACTTTATTATTTTTTGGAAAAACAAAACCCAGTAGGTGCTTTTTACTCCAAGGGTATAAAAAATAAGGAGGACTTGGTGGTTGATTGGTTGTAGAGAGCAAATGAGAAGTATTGGGCAAGGATGACTTTCAGTTCTCTCATTCCTTGTAATAATTCACTGGCACTGAAAGAAAGACAGTTATCCTCTGTCTCCTATTCCTTCACCCGGTTGTCACTCCTTTTGCTCTGCAACTTCTCATCCAGATTCGGCTCCTCCTAAGTCTGTCCCTGGACTCTCTGAAGTGTTTGTTCCAATACGAAAACCCCTCTGCATCCCTTACCTTATTTCACAATGCTATCTTCATGTTTTCCCTAACTGAATGGCCAAGGATTAGAGATGAGACCTGGCACTGAAAACGACTGACTCAAATATTCTTATACCAGCACAGGTTGTTTCCATGCCAGCAGCATATAATGAGGGTCCCAACCTAGCATCAGAGAAGATGGAAGATGGAACAAATTCATGAGGGACCCAGTACCAAGTGGATCTACCTCAGGGTGTTCAAATAGCTGGGAGGTCCAGGGTTAGGATGAAGATTGCCTACAGATTGCAAAGTCTGGTAAGGATCAAGGCAGCCCTCATACTTGTCTGAACCGATTGTTCAGGGCAGAAGAGGAGGCACAATAGTGGGAATAATGGCCAGTCCTAGTTAACAATCTAAGGAACCGCCAACTCATTATTTTTCCATATCACAATTTGCTTTGCAAACCAACAAGCCAAAATACCAAGCTATTCAGATACAAGCATAAATGCCATCTGTGTAAATGTAAATACTGAACATAAGAGCTTTTCAATGATCAAGAGACATTAAAGATTAATGTCAGAGATATGTCCACTTCTTGAATCTTATTCTTTAGGGCCACCACCTCCCAGGCACTATCTTTGTTTTTTTGTTGTCATTGAGATCTTTGCCATTCAAGCCTGACTCACCCCAGCCTTCAAGAGCCAGGCATTTCTTTTTTGTTGTTTTGTTTTGTTGAATTATACTTTAAGTTCTGGAATACATGTGCAGAATGTGCAGGTTTGTTACATAGGTAGACACGTGCCATGGTGGTTTGCTGCATCCATCACCCCGTCATGTAAATTAAGCATTTCTCCTAACGCTACACCACCTCCTGACAGGCCCTGGTGTGTGATTTTCCCCTCCCTGTGTCCATGTGTTCTGATTGTTCAACTCCCACTTATGAGTGAGAACATACAGTGTTTGTTTTTCTGTTCCTGTGTTCTTTTGCTGAGAATGATGGTGTCCGACTTCATCCATGTCCCTGCAAAGGATATGAACTCATCTTTTTTATGACTGCATAGTATTCTACGGTGTATATATGCCACATTTTCTTTATCCGGTCTACCACTGATGGGCATTTGGGATGGTTCCAAGTCTTTGTTATCCTGAACAGTGGTGCAATGAACATACATGTGCATGTCTCTTTATAGTGGAATGATTTATAATCCTTTGGGTATGTACCCAGTAATGGGATTGCTAGGTTAAATGATGTTTCTGGTTCTAGATCCTTGAGGAATTGCCACACTGTCTTCCACAATGGTTGGACTAATTTACACTCCACCATCAGTGTAAAAGCATTCCTATTTTTCCACATCCTCTCCAGCATCTGTTGTTTCCTGACTTTTTAATAATTGCCATTTTAATTGGTATGAGATGGTATCTCATTGTGGTTTTGATTTCTGTTTCTCTAATGACCAGTGATGATGAGCTTTTTTCATGTTTGCTGGCCACATAAATGTCTTCTTTTGAGAAGTGTCTGTTCATATTCTTTGCCCACTTTTTGATGGGTTCTTTTTGTTTCTTGTAAATTTGTTTAAGTTCCTTGTAGATTCTGGATATTAGCCCTTTGTTAGATGGATATATTGCAAACATTTTCTCCCATTCTGTAGGTTACCTCTTCATTCTGATGATAGTTTCTTTTGCTGTGCAGAAACTCTTCAGTTTAACTAAATCCCATTCGTCAATTTTGGCTTTTGTTATCATCCCTTTTGGCGTTTTAATCATGAAGTCTTTGCCCATGCCTATGTCCTGAGTGGTGTTGCCTAGGTTTTCTTCTAGGGTGTTTATGGTTTTAGGTCTTACATTTAAGTATTTAATCCATCTCAAGTTAATTTTTGTTTAAGGTATAAGGGAGGGATCCAGTTTTCAGGAAGAAGTCAAATCCCTGAATAGACCTATAACAAATTCTGAAATTGAGGCAGCAATTAATAGCGTACCAACCAAAAAGAGCCCGGGTCCAGATGGATTCATAGCCAAGTTCTACCAGAGGTACAAAGGGGAGCTGGTACCATTCCTTCTGAAACTATTCCAAACAATAGAAAAAGAGGGAATCCTCCCCAACTCATTTTATGGGACCAGCATCATCCTGATACTCAAACCTGGCAAAGACACAACAACAACAAAAAAGAAAATTTCAGGCCAATATCCCTGATGAACATCAATGTGAAAATCCTCAATAAAATACTAGCAAACCAAATCCAGCATCACATCAAAAAGCCTATCCAGCATGATCATGTTGGCTCCGTCTCTGGGATGCAAGGCCGGTTCAACATACGCAAATCAATGTAATCCATCACATAAACAGAACCAAAGACAAAAACCACATGATTATTCGAGTAGATTCAGAGAAGACCTTTGATAAAATTCAACACCCCTTCATGCTAAAAACTCTCAATAAACTACATATTGATGGAACCTATCCCAAAGTAATAAGAGCTATTTATGACAAACCCACAGCCAATATCATACGGAATGGGCAAAAGCTGGAAGCATTCCCTTTGAAAACTGGCACAAGACAAGGATGCCCTCTCTCATCACTCCTATTCAATGTAGTATTGGAAGTTCTGGCCAGGGCAATCAGGCAAGAGAAAGAAATACAGGGTATTCAAATAGGAAGAGAGGAAGTCAAATTGTCTCTGTTTGCAGATGACATGATTGTATATTTAGAAGACCCCATCGTCTCAGCCCAAAATCTCATTAAGCTGATAAGCAACTTCAGCCAAGTCTCAGGATACAAATCAATGTGGAAAAACCACAAGCATTTCTAGACACCAATAATAGAGTCAAATCATAAGTGAATTCCCATTCACAATTGCTACAAAGAGAATAAAATACCTAGGAATACAGTTTACAAGGGATGTGAAGGACCTTTTCAAGGAGAACTACAAACCACTGCTCAAGGTTGTAAGAGAGGACACAAACAGATGGAAAAACATTCCATGCTCATGGATAGGAAGAATCAATATTATGAAAATGGCCATACCACCCAAAGTAATTTATAGATTCAATGCTATCCCCATCAAGCTACCATTGACTTTCTTCATAGAATTAGCAAAAACTACTTTAAATTGCATATGAAACCAAAAAAAAGCCCATATAGCCAAGATAATCCTAAGCAAAAAAAAAAAAAAAAAAGCGGGAGCCATCATGCCACATGACTTCAAACTATACTACAAGGCTTCAGTAACCAAACAGCAGTGGTACTGGTACCAAAACAGAGATATAGACTAATAAAACAGAACAGGGGCCTCAGAAATAACAGCACACGTCTACAACCATTTGATCTTTGACAAACCTGACAAAAACAAGCAGTGGGGAAAGGATTCCCTATTTAATAAATGGTGTTGGGAAAACCAGCTAGCCTATGCAGAGCCAGGCGTTTCTTAGTATGCATTGAACTCATGCCAAACTATTGTTTCACACTATTATTGTCTAAAAGACAACGTGTACTAGAAATGTGAAACAGGAAATGTCCATCTGACCTTATCACAGTACAAGAAATTTTCCAGAGTCCATATGCTGATGTAATTATTTTAAAAATTATTTTTGTTTTTTAAAGTGGTAGATCCTTAGAACAATTGTCTTTGGCATCACAGATATAGCATATGGCGTATCATCTCCCTTTTAGAGGAATAGTGCACTGTAATAGTGCACTGTAATTGGTACAGTCTGCTTTTATGTTATTTTCTAATTAGGTTTTAGGAGTTCTTTTTATTTACTTGGTTTGTTTGTGTGTGTGAAACATAACATATGTATTTGTATGTCTTAACCTTTCCTTTGTTTGGAAAGTCCTTAGTTTATTTTACATAGAATGATTTTCCTTTATCCGCAAAGCTATGACCCATATAAGCTATTTCCTTCTGTTCCAGTACTGTGCTTATGTAATTTCCTATAAACAGCAGCAAACAACGTCAGTATACACTGGCTGTTGGTTCAGTGTTCTTGCAGTACTTACAATGGACATTTCTCAGCATAATTAATCTCTTTTCGAAATTTTGGCCCTATTTTTATCAGCACCAATACAATACTTTGAAATGAATGGAAATGCTGTATTCCTTGAAGGGTAAGGATTAAAGCTGAAACTGGGTCTAGGGATGAGGTGACGAGGAAAAAAAAACCCTTACAAATCTGGTGATTTTTTTCTCCTTTGGAAGTGAAAAACAATGAGCTGTACTCTGTGAAAGAAAGGAAACGGTGCTGACAAGCTTTTCTCCAACCACTGTGCACCTCTGGTTCAGAACCAGCAGAAGCCAATTAGTTATTTAGTTCATTAGCACATTTAAGTGTGAGATTTTATTTATATGACCATCAAGAACTAGATATTCAGGCGTAATTCAGGTCCTTTTTCATTTATAATGAGTCTCTTTCATTTGTAATTTCTCTTTTGATTTATAGTCATTTTAATTCTTGTTTTATATTTGTTTTAATCCATGATCTTCTTTTTATCCTATATCTTATATATCTTTTAGCTGTCCCTTTTTCCATATAGTTTTACAGAATCCCAGAAATCCTTTTCTTTTGTTAAAATGCTATCACTAGTAGTATTTCTAATGCCAATTTAAGCTTTTTTATTCTAGAATAATTTGTGCATAATGAATTGTTAAGTGTATCTACAGAGAATGAATGATTGATATTCAGCCAAGCTTTGCCTATGTCTTTCCATGACCAAAAACAATAAAGTAAAAGGAAAAAAAATTCAGTTAGTCTGTTGTTTCATCTGTGTGGCTCTGAACAACCTATTTGTATATTTTGGGAAATTTTTTTCTCATTGAATTACTGTGTATATTTATCATGTACATTGATGGTTGAATTTTCACTGTATACCTATATGGTAAAAAGTTTGGAAAAAAACTATTTTTTAATAGCCATTTTGGAAACAAGTGTCAGTGAGCATATTGTTTTAGGAAAAGGAGGATGGTGGGGACACTGGATTGAAAGGAAGTCTTATGTCAGAGGGCTCTGTGCACATTTTCCTGAAGTACCTCAGCTATGCTTAAATGTAATCGGTTATTTTAACCAATCATAATGGTTGCATTTTGCCTTTTCTCATAATAAATTATAAAACTGATAACTTATAAATATGGCAAAACCTTATTTTTCAGGATGCCGCTCCCTTCTCTAACAGATTGAATTTTGTGTCAAAAGACTTCAAAAGCTACCAGAGTATTGTGAAAGAAGAAACAGTGTTGTCGAAGGCTGCTGATATTGCCTGTTAGCCAGAAGAAAGAACCTGAATCATTCAAAGGTTTTCCATCTGGCAAAGAAGTGTGGTAAAAATCCTACCCAGATCTGCATGTGCTAAGTATCCAGGTAAGTTGGAGCAACATATTAATGGCAACCAGTGAAGAAATGAAAGGTAAAACTATAATGCAATGTGTTTCTGTGCCTCATGTTGAAACGTCATATTCAAGGGCTAAAGGGGCTTCATTTTTCTTCTTCCCCAGCTTGTGTATTTCAGTTTTGTATTGAAATGTTCTTTGGGTTCATAAAATATTTAGGGACTACATAAAAAAGAAAGACTTTGGAATCAAAGGCAAGCTTTGGAATCAAACACAGCTTCTGTTCAATGAAACTAGGAAATCACGATCTATCAAAGGCCTAGTGTTAATCGGTACCAATTTCTCACCACGTTTTGATTAGAAGAAAATTGAGCTGCAAACATTTAATGATTTGTCTGACTGAATGCTGACTTAAAGTTCTGATCTCTAGTAATGTCAGGCATGTTGTCTTGGTAAATTGTACAGGTGAGTTGTTAAAGATGAAAGCTTAAGTATTTATTGTTTGAATTACTTTAGAGAAAAAAATTGTTATTTATTTTTCAGAATGAGGTGTAATTGCTATGTCAAAAATCCACAGAATGTGAAAGTATAAAGGAAAACTATCAGGTGATACTCAATTATTTTTATTCTAAAGATATAGGTAAAAATGTGAACAGATATATTGCCATAAAACTCATAAAACATATGAATATATTAAAAACTAGAATCTCTGGGTGCCTCTGAGGATAATAATTGAAGGTCTATGTGTCAAGAATACTTTGCACAGCTGGAACTATTACAGTATTTGAATTTTTTCTTATATATGTATAACTTTTTGAAAAGAATGAGAAATGCTGTACAAATGCAACTATTTTTACTGTAGGTTTTTATTTCCATAAAATTATAAGTGTGTGGTCAATAGATCCTGTTATATAGCTATAATATCCCTTGAATTTGTTTACCTGGTAACACTGGCTCATGTTTGTAAATCCTTCGGAACTCTGAAATGATTTTGCATACATTATCTAATTTGTAAGATTACAAAACTATTACATTAGCTTTTCTGGTTTTCTTGTCTTAATACTAGATTATCATACTAAACTGCAGTGGTTTTTTTTTGTTTTCATCATGTCACACACACACAATAGAAAACCAGCAGTTGTAATTTTCTTCAGCAGTTCTTAACGGAAGTTTATTTAATAGTTTAGTACTTTTCTTTCGTAAGTACTGGACCAAGCTGTAATGGAATTATACGACTCATGCTTTCAGAACAAAGCTTTCTGTTACTCGTGTGTTTATCCTGAAAGCCGTATGACCACGTGAAGTTCTATCACGATTCTGTTGGATGTTACCTTTGTCTTATCCACTGAACTCAAGCCAGGGTGTTGGAGAGCTCAATAGCTGAGTCTGAGGGTAAATTAAAATACCAGTCAAAATTAAATGGACAGTGTGGAAGGGGAGTGAGCCTACAGGCTATTAATGAGATTTGTCCCACCTGGTTTAATAAAACCCCTTCTCTGCTGAAGGGTGTGTAGGATGGCTTTTCATGCAAATAGAAGACCAGGTCAGAAACAAATCCACTCCCTTTCCTTCTGCTTGGCTTACTGGACTTGTAGACAGACCTAGATTTTCCTATTTTATTAATGGTGATGGAGCTGAATTTCTTACCAATAGAAATTGTTATTTGAATTTAGCAACATTGATAAAACTGGCTCATCAAACCATTTTTTTATTGCAAAGGGCTTCATGGACAGTGACCTGCTGTGAGCTGGCTGACAGCTGAAGCGATGAACAATGCTGTTTAGTTTTGGCCATCATGCCTGCCAGAGACTAAGAATACCTTGACCAATAAGGAGGGCGGATCTTTGTTAGCCTTTCTGCATTATTTCTTCCAATGTAGTATTTAATCTCAGGAAAGAGTCAATCTCATGTGGGTGGCTATTCATTGTGATATTTAAAGGAGCGCAGTAGTCAAGGGTGAGGGCTAAGAGTCAAGCAGACTTGAATTCAAATTCTAGCTCCACCCCTTACCACACATGGGCACATGGGCAAGTTACTTCACTTCTTTAACCATCAGTTTCCTCATTTGTAAGCTAAATCTTGTTAGAATGAATTTTTTTCAAATGAATTAGGTGTACAGTAAAGGGCCGGCCTATAGTGTAAGGGCCTATAATTCAAATGAATTAAGTGTATAGTAAAGGGCCTATAGTGTAAAGGGCCTATATTGTTATAATTACTAAAACTTTTTAATATGATTAATCTAATTACTAAAACTTTTTGTATATGATTATAATAACCACATACAAAATTTCATAGCAAATACATAAAAACTGGCTATTTGACTATTTGCTATCTCCCACTCCACTCCCCACCATTCCTTCCTAAGCCCACTCCAGTCAGGCAACCCACCAGTCCACTGGTACCACACTTGACAAGGTCACCAGTGACATTCACATTGCTAAATGCAGTGGCCAGTTCTCAGCTTTCTTCTGAGTTGAGCACTCAGCAGTCTTTGGAAAAATTAATCTTACAGTCTATTGCCTGCTCTTTTTTGTTTTCCTAATCTCTAAACATTGGAGGGCTCCAGGGCTCTGTCCTCCGGCCTCTTCTCTATCCATAACCCCTTCCTGGTGACCTTACTAATCTTGGAGATTTACTATCATGTAGATGCCACTGACTTCTCAAATATATATTTCCAGTTCACATCTCTCTTATGAGTTCCAGATGTGTATATGCAACTGCCTGCTGGATTTCTACTTGAATGTCTTAATTTCTCAAACTTGGCATGTGGAAAACTGAACACCTTGATCTTCCTAAAAATCTGTTTTTCTGTCATTTAGTTCGTCAGCTAAAAACTTCGGAGCTAGACATATGGACTGCCCATACTAAGGGAAGAATCAGAGGAGAAGGGATACAAGACCCCAGGAGCACACCCAGCACCTTAATATGCATGCTGCGTCTCTCTAAAATGGTGGAACCTGTTTGTTTACCTGTTCTGGAGAATGGCTGCCTATAGCAGACACAGGAGTTGTCTTCACACTGTGCGTTCCGACTTCCACAGGAATTTGAGTTGTAGCTGCAATGCAGCTACCAACCGGGGATACAGTTTCTCAGCCCCGCGCCTTGTACCTACAGCTAAGTGTGGCCATGTGACCAGTTTTCATCAATTAAGTATGAATAGAAACAAAGTGCACCACCTTCATTTGCTCTCTTTCGCCTTGTGCTAGGGGATACAGATGACAATAAGGCCCTAGGTGATGAGGCAGCCATAAGATGCAAAATGCCTCAGACCTGAGTCACCACGTGGAAGAGAGAAGCTCACTGACCTAGAACATCCACCCTGGTCTATAGATGAACAAGAAATAAACTTCTATTGTGTTTGAACATTGAAGATTTGGTTCTGTTATAGCAACTTATCTCACCCTGACTAAACTGTTACCTGTCGTTCAAGAGATAGGCAAGTTTAGCCAGGGTGCCCTCCTTCCCTGAAAGTGATTTTTTCATAAATGTAATCTATATGTTAATTCATACTCTCCAAAGCATATACACATCTATTCAACTATGCTTATGTGTTCCATCAACAGAAACCTCATATAAATAAATATATATAAAGGTTTAAAAAAAAAAAAAGACACTTTGGAGTTATCCTTGACCCTGTCTTCTTTTCTCACACCCATATCCAAACCATCAAGAAATCTTGTTTAATCAGCCTTCAAAATCTATCTAGGATTTAACCACTAATCAACCTCTTCTCCTCGGGCAGTCTGTCCTTCTACATTTCATTTTAATCATCCTTGGAAACTCCTAACCAGTCTCAGTGCTTTCACCTTGTACTTCCAGACTATTCTCAAATAGCAGCCAATGAGACCCTGCTGCACTTCTGCTCAAAACCTCACTTAGGGTAAAACCAGGTGGGGCCTACACAGTCTGGCCTCACCTCCTAGTGCTTTCCTCCTTGTTCATTCTGCCAGCCACACTGCTCTTCTTGCTTTTCCGTGAACGTGCTAGACACACTCTCACGTTTGGGCTTTTGCACTTATTTCCCTTTCCAGAATACTCTTCACATGGATATGCACAACCAGCCCCCTCATCTCTTTCAAATTTTAGTTCAAATGCCACTGTCTCAATGAGGGTTTCCTGATCAGTTTATTTAAACTTACAGTCTCCCTTTGTCTAATGCCTTGTCTTTACTTTTCTTCATAGTAATTACCACCATCTGACTTACACTTGCTTGCCTTTCTTGTTTATTTTCTGTTTTCCCCACTCAAATGTAGTCCAGAAGGAAAGGGACTCTTGTTTATTTGTTCATTCCTCTATCCCCTGGGCCTGAGCATGGCTTTGGGTAGACACCCAGTAAATGTTTGTTTAAATGGATAAATAAATGAATACGTGGCATTTACTACTTATATGGTACTATAATATGAAAGCATACCATGCAGGGAGTTAGGAATCTAGAAACTAGTTTTGACTCAGCCTCCTATGAACAAGGTTGTGTGGACAAGTCATTTCACCTCTCTGAGCCTCATTTTTCTAATATTTAAAATCTACCCTACAGAAGTGTAAAATGTTCAAATATAGATTATCTTAGGGAGTGCAGTCTCATGCGTGCACAGTGAAAGAATTTCTACATACCTTCCATGTATCCACAATCAATGGTTTATCTAAACCTTGTCAGGAAAATTAAGTTCTGTATGAGCAGATTTTTAAAAAAATTGTCACTGAAAGAAATATCCAGTTAAGCCAAAACCTTCTCTAGAGACAGGATGCAATAGAGAAGCACTAGCAGAATTAGGTTCCGTGGGAAAGGCACACTTGATGCCTTCCTCATATCCTTGCACTCATAATAGAGTTTGAATTAAAGAACAAGAAACAAAACAGACTTTGCATTTTTCATCTTTAGCCAAGCTCCGCTGGTTTGCATAGTCATAACATCATTCAAATGACCATTTTTGGAGTTTTTATTTCAAGTACCCTTTTCCTCATCTAGGAGAAATGAATATCTGATGCTTTGTTTTTCCAAATTGTAGTATGAAAACTGAGTGATGCTACAAAGCTTTTTAAATGTTATAGAGGTATAGCAAGTGAACTGTTTATAAGTTTCTGGGATTTTTGAAAAATATTTTTTATTTATGTATTTTTTTTTTTTTTTGAGATGGAGTCTTGCTCTGTTGCCCAGGCTGGAGTGCAGTGGTGCGATCTCGACTCACTGCAACCTCTGCTGCCCAGGTTCAAGTGATTCTCATGCCTCAGTCTCCCAGGTAGCTGGGAATACAGGCGTGCACCACCATGCCTGGCTAATTTTTTTTTTTTTTTTTTTTGTATTTTTAGTAGAGACGGGGTTTCATCATGTTGGCCAGCCTCAAGTAATCTGCGCCCCCCAGCCTCCCAAAGTGCTGGGATTACAGGCGTGAGCCACTGCACCTGACCTGACCATATTTTTTACGTTCAATATAATGATGATTTGTTCAGATTCCCTTGATTTTATTTTCTAATGAATACCTCAGCATTTCTCTTATATGCTGGTCACGTATCAGATGGATTCCCAGTGAATGCTTTTTATTTGAGACAGAGTCTCCCTCTGTAGCCCAGGCTGGAGTGCAATGGCATGATCTCAGCTCACTGCAACCTCTGCCTCCTGGTTCAAGTGATTCTCCTGCCTCAGTCGCCCGAGTAGCTGGAGTTACAGCCATGTGTCACCACACCCAGCCAATTTTTGTATTTAGTAGAGACAGCGTTTCACAAGTTGGTCAGGCTGTTCTCGAACTCCTGACCTTGTGATTCGCCTGCCTTGGCCTCTCAAAGTGCTGGTATTACAGGCGCGAGCCACCACGTCCCGCCCAATGAGGCTTGCTAGCTGTTATGCTCCACTAGATGATGAGCTTTATGGAGGCAGTCTTTATTCCTCCCATCTGCCTAGTATCTAGTATATCTCAACAAATATCAAACTAGGAAATAAGAAAATGAACATTTTCTACCTATTTAATATATTTGAATTTATTAGTCTTCCTCTGTTGTTCTTAATTAGTTTGTTTTTTGAGACAGAGTCTCTCTCTGTCACCTAGGCTGGAGTGCAGTGGCATGATCACAGCTCACCACAGCCTCAAACTCTCAGGCTGCAACAATCCTCCTGCCTCAGCCTCCTGAGTAGCTGGGATTACAAGCATGCACCACCACACTTGGCTAATTTTTGTATTTTTCATAAAGAAGGGGTTTTGCCATGTTGCCCAGGCTGGTCTTGAACTCCTAAGTTCAAGTGAACCACCTGCCTTGGCCTCCCTAAGTGTTGGGATTACAGACATGAGCCACTGCATCTGACCTCTGTTCTAATTTTTTAAATGTTAAAACTTTGAGAAAACAAGAGTTACGGCAAAGGAATCAATCATTAGAGTGAACTAGCAACCAACAGAATGGGAAAAAGGTTTTGCAACCTACCCATCTGACAACGGGCTAATATCCAGAATCTACAAAAAACTAAAACAGATTTACAAGAAAAAAATAAAACCATTCAAAAGTGGGTGAAGGATATGAACAGACACTTTTCAAAAGAAGACATATATGAGGCCAACAAGCATATGAAAAAATGCTCATCACCAGTGGTTATTAGAGAATTGCAAATCAAAACCACATTGAGATACCATCTCACACCAATTAGAATGGCGGTCATTAAAAAATCTGGAAACAACAGATGCTGGAGAGGATGTGGAGAAATAGGAACACTTTTCCACTGTTGGTGGGAGTGTAAATTAGTTCAACCACTGTGGAAGACAGTGTGGCAATTCCTCAAGGACCTAGAAATAGAAATTCCATTTGACCCAGCAATCCCATTACTGGGTATATACCCAAAGGATTATAAATCAACTTATTATAAAGACACATGCACATGTATGTTCATTGTGGCACTGTTTACAATAGCAAAGACCTGGAACCAACCCAAATGCCCATCAACAATAGACTGGACAAGGAAATTGTGGCACATATACACCATGGAATACTATGCAGCCCTAAAAAACGATGAGTTTGTGTCCTTTGTAGGGACATGGATAAATCTGGAAACCGTAATTCTCAGCAAACTGACACAAGAACAGAAAATCAAACATTGTATGTTCTCACTCATAGGTGGGTATTGAACAATAAGAACACAAGGACACAAGGAGGGGGAGCACTACACATTGGGTTCTGTTGGGGAGGGCTAAGGGAGGAACAGTGGGGGGTAAGGAGGTTGGGGAGGGATAACATGGGGAAAAATGCCAGATATAGGTGATGGGGGGATGGAGGCAGCAAATCACCTTGCCATGTAAGTACCTATGAAACAAACCTGCATGATCTGCACGTGTACCCAGAACCTAAAGTACAATAAAAAAAAAAAAAATTGAAAAATTTTTTGAAGATTTGCTACAATTTGAAAAAATTTGCGAACAAACTGAATAGTGTAGAATATCTTTTAAAAATTTAAAGTTAGGGCCAGGCATGGTGGTTCACACTTACAATCCCAGCACTTCAGGAGGCTAGCGGAAGGATCATTTGAGCCTAGGAGTTTGAGACCAGGCTGAGCAACATAGTGGTACCCCATCACTACAAAAAAAAAAAAGGTAAAAATTCGTAAATCATAGTGGCACTCCTAAAGCTCCAGCTACTCAGGAGTGGGAGGATCACTTGAGCCTGGAAGGTTGAGGCCAAGGCTGCTGTGAGCCTTGATTGCGAACACTGTCCTCTAGCCTGGGTGACAGAATGAGACCACGTTTCAAAAAATAAATAAATAAATAAGAAAAACATAGAAATAGAAAAAGTTAGGTATGTCATGAATGCATAAATATATAAATATATATGTAGCTACTAGTCTATTTTATCATTTACTGTCATGAAATACTTGAGACAGCAAGACCAACCCCTTCCCTTCCTCCTCCCTTTCAACTTACTCAACATGAAGACAATGAGGATGAAGACCTTTATTATTATCCACTTCCACTTAATGAATAGTAAATATATTTTCCTTCCTTATGATTTTCATAATAACATTTTACTTTAGCTTACTTTATTGTAAGAATACAGTATATAATACGTATATAATATATGTAATGTACAAAATATGTGTTAATTGACTGTTTTGTCATTGGTAAGGCTTCTGGTCAACAGTAGGCTACTAGTAGTCAATTTTGGGGGGAAGATAAAAGTTACATATGGGTAATTGACCATTTGGAAGTCGGCACACCCAACACCCATGTTATTCAAAGGATTGAAGTGTCAACTGTATTTCACTATTTTTATCTATTTTCAAGTTAATAATTGTTTTATGTATAAAAACAGCAGCTTTCTTATCATCAGTATAATGTCAGTTATTCCATACTGATACTATTAATATGATAAATATACATTTATACTTCAAATAGCAAAAGTAGTCATTAATCAGCAAGGCAGTTCCGGAAAATTAATCTGGCAGGACTGAATAAAATAGACTAGAAGAAAGTAGGCTTAAAACAGAAATATATTGGCTAGGACTCCATTGTCATTATCTAAACAAGAGCTAATGAGTTTCCCTACTAGGAAAGAAATAGAAGAAATGGAAAGAAGGGACAGTTTTTAAATGTAATGAAGGGAGAATTGATGCATTTGGATAACCGGTTGAATGTA